AAAGTGAAGTCACCAGAAAGCCTGATTACCCAGATCTGAGGTCTTCTGGACTGGCTGTGTGTCGTCATGTCTTTGTACTATCTGTTTAGTTACTTTGTTGCGCGTCACAGACTTTGCAATTATATAGACTACCCGCGTATCTACGTTAATGAATCGAGATTTTTCAATACTGTAGTTAACGAATGCGAACCGTACGTAAACGACTCGTGAACTACTATATCCCGCGTATATTTGATGCCGTATGTACCGCCTCACTGCCACACGCGAAATCGCGTATGTTTGAACTTTCTTTTTCTTGTGGTAGGGGGGATGTAGCAGTATTCATATTATTTTATACACTGCACCGACGCGCCATCTATTATGAGCGTTGTACGTGAGTAAAGCAATCCAACATGGCAGCGCCCCTGTCAACGTTGTAACTTCGTTCGTGCTTAATAAATCATCTTAACTACAACCAAGACTTGTCGAATACCATTACACTTATAAGACACACGCTGAAACTTATTATCATAAGTGCGTATCCATTTTTTTCACATCATCGCTGGTTCCACCTACACTGCAAAAACACCCTGTCTCACTTTTTCTCAAAGTCACTTCGCCACAATCCATTTCTCCCGCTCAACTTTTTCTCGTACCCCATTCTCTCTTTCTTTGTCGATCTGGTCATTTCCGCTCCACCTCGAGCCCATTGCCAAACGAATTTACTGGAGTTCCTCGAACTAGTGACGAAGTATGTAGACCATGGAGACCCTGTGGATGCAATATACCTGGACTTTTCTAAAGCCTTTGATAAGGTACCCCACAAACGACTTGTCAACAAACTGCAAGCACATGGTATCACGGGACAGGTCAGTAGATGGATAGAGTCATGGCTCACAAATAGGAAGCAGCGAGTGGTCCTAAATGGGAAATTTTCAGATTGGTCACGGGTAACAAGTGGTGTCCCTCAAGGTTCAGTACTGTTCCTCATCTACATCAACGACATAGACGAAAATGTCACAAGCCATATATTAAAGTTTGCAGATGATACCAAAATATTCAGAACAGTATCCACAACAGCAGACACTGAAGCACTGCAACATGACCTGCAAACGGTACTAGGATGGTGCAATGACTGGCAAATGTTGTTCAATGCTGACAAATGCAAAAGTATCCATTATGGTTACAACAACCAAAAGCATAAATACAACATGAATGAGCACATCTTGGAGCAAGTACAACAAGAGAAGGACCTTGGAGTAACCATAACTGAATCCCTTAAGAACAGCAAGCAATGTGCCATAGCTGCCACTAAAGCGAACAAAATACTGGGAGTCATCAATAGAACTATAACATATAAAGACAAAAAAATCATACTTCAGCTTTACAAATCACTGGTTAGACCTCACCTTGAATATGCTGTCCAATCTTGGAATCCCTATTTGCAGAAAGATATAGTGTTACTGGAAAAGGTGCAAAGAAGGATGTCGCGTATGATTCCAGATATTCGTCATTATTCCTACGAACAAAGACTAGAGAAACTAGGACTTATAACACTGGAACAGAGAAGACTAAGAGGAGACCTTATTGAAACTTTCAAACTAATGAATGGCTACGAATTAATTGATCCAACAAAATTCTTTACAAGATCGGAATACTCGTGGCCATAGCCTCAAATTGTTCACTCCGCGTGCACGACTAGAGTTAAGGAAGCATTTTTTTTCACTTTTAGAGTGATAAATCACTGGAATAACCTGTCAGAAGAAGCAGTACAAGCTAAATCTATTAACTCTTTCAAACGCCATGTGGATGAATATTTAAGGATGGGGGTTTATACAAGACAGTAGTCTTTCTACCCTTCGATCCACTCCAAACCTACAGGTTAGGGGTGGAATCAGGTAAATCAGGTAAACCTTTCTCCCATGACTCTCCCATTCCCTCTATATCTCTCTTTCGCGCGTATTCCTTCTCGCCTAGCTCTCTCCCTCGCCGTTGAATAAGGTCTGAATAAAATCTGAATAAAATGCGTCAAATGCAATTTAAATTGATAATTAATTTATTTTCAAACGATTGGTAAACTGCGAGACCATATACACGTGATGCTTATAGAGTTTAGATTAAGTATCGATTTCTATGCATAGAATTGCAATCAAATTAACCGTCGTTGATTTTTTCATGCGCTGAGAAAACTATGCTGAATGGTACGACGTCCTAGCTTGCAGGGTACCTCGGACAGAGTCTTTTTGGCATCAGTCCCCCAGATAAATGTATGTGCATATATTCTTCGAAATACTCGTCATTTAAACAGGTACTGCGTATATGTAACCCAGGATATAACTCCTTGCTACATTCGCAAATATTTTAGAAATTTATCTATATGTTGAATTGGCTAACATTTGGGTTCGCGCATGCGCAATAGCTGACTTAATTATTCATATTTTGATTCAAAAATGTATTCAAAATAGAGCGGGGCTACCCGCTAGTAGATTTATCCGATAAATATCCATCGTCATGGCTCTGCTAAAAGATGGTACGACGCCCTAGCTTGCAGGGTACTCCGGACACAGCGTTTCTGCATAGCATCAGTCTCCCAGATACATGCACGTGTATATATATATCTTCGAAATACTCGTCATTTAAACAGGTACTGGGTATATTTAACCCAGGATATAACTCCCTGCTACATTAACAAATATTTTAGAAATTTATCTATGTTGAATAGGCTAAAATCCGTGTACGCGCATGCGCAGTAGCTGACTAAATGATTAATATTTTGATTCAAAAATGTGCATAAAATGGAGCTGGGCTACCCGCGTCGTGTTAATTTCTTACACTTCATAAAAAACCCAAAGCGTTCGCTGTCGCAGTTTTTATCACACAGATAAAAACGGGGTGAAATTTTCCCCGTTTTTTTCAGTGCGTGTTGCGTGACTTGCGTATTGCACGATACGACAATCCTACGGACACTATAGCTGTCCTCGTAACAGGCACATGTAAAACACGTGATCAGTAACCTTCAAGCCTGCCCGTAGGTCACAACGAAGTTTACATGTATTATAAGGCCGGCTATATTGAATAAACACATCTTACATATTACGGTACGGAATGAATACTTTTCGATTAAATTTCATAAAGGCACTTTACAGTGGGCATCGCAGCTTAAAATAAACTGCCCAAGTTATCACATTACACGCGTAAACTAGCACACCTAGGCGTCGTTTTGTGGGAAATCAATGCAGCGATGGTATTTGGTGACTTACGGATGTAGTAATCGGCGGCATGAACTTAAACTTGAATGATTTCTAATTTGAATACTTAATTATGTGCGAGCGTTACAATCTCAACCTATACTTGCAATATTTCTTATGATAATGTAACTCATACTCCCTGATCGACGCACGTCTGCCGAAAGCCTGCGACGCAAAAATAACTCGACGGATCCACGAGCAATAATATAATCACTTACACTATTTCAAGAGCTAATATACATAATTTTATGATGTACACATAATATACATACCTAATGTATGTAGCTAATGATGTATTATTAGCTCTCGATTATTTATATGTATGACATGGCGCCTTTTAGGCCCACAACACCAGATCCTTGTCCTTCATGAATTCCCGGGCCCGAGCCCCTGGGATGAGGCTCGGCCTGATGACGTCGTCGTAAAATTTATCGGTCCCTACAGAGTAGGCCTAGTTTGGTTCACTTCGCCTGAACACCTTCTCACGGGTTGAGATCCTGATGCGCTGCTCTCGCCTTACAGGAGCTGTCACGGTCCCGTTCGCCTTCAGACAAATGCAGTCTAAAAAACACATGCCCTAATTTATCTGGTTACGCGCAGATTCAACGAGCAGAATGAGTACAACAAGTGTAAAGCGCTGCCACTCACATTTGCCTGTGTTTGTTTCGTTGCTAGTGTGCCTTTCTTATACTATCTTACTACCGTCCGTAATTTTATGGCAATGTTTAAATATACTTCTCGCGTGCCTTCTGGTTTCGTGGGGATGGAGGAGGAGCATGGTGGGTGTGGCGCAACATTAAACTGGATACGTACTATATACGTACGTTGAAGAAATCATCAGCAGGCACACGGAGCACAATGGAGAATATGCGAATGGGGGTTGATGTCCGAAATAAAAATTCGCTGTTTTTATTATTTTTTTGCGCAGTTGGCTTTTTCCTTTACGAACTCTGTCGCGGATTAATAAATCGAATGCAGACTTGGCAAGAGAAATCTGTCCCACGGGAGTAGGCGAATGTATGCTTTACGTTCGGAGAAATGCTGCACGTCAACACAACAACGTTGGGGTAATATATACTTTACCATATGATGTTTTCGCCCGGTTCTTTGTCCCGGTGTTTCGTTACGGAATGTAGTGTCAGCGAGCAGATGCTATAGACGGTTGTCCATCCAGGTCCGCGCGCACCAAGTGCCACTCGCTCTACAGCCGTGCTCTGTTGTGCTGTCTGCGATTTCCGACTGAGTCAACACTGCTCAACACTGAACGCAACTCTGGACCAGCGTTAATAGTAGTTGGGAACTCTTGTGCTATTGTAAAACATTTAAAACAAAGGGAGCGTGCGTTTCGCGCGCACGCCACGTGGACGCTTAACCGTTCATAGATATCAGAGCTGAGGCGGATGTGAAGGATATATACATAATATATGTGTGTTACTTAGGAGAAGTGACGGAAATGAAGTGTGAGACGATTCTCGTCGGTTTGTTGGCTCTGCTGCATGCGACATCAGCTCAAGGTTGTATACAACTTCTTGTATGAGATCTACTGTTATATAATTATGCACTCTTTTGTATAAATAAATAAATAAATACCTATATATATCTATATACGTATGTGTGGGGGGAGTGCGCGTGTGTGTGCGCGCGCGTGTATGTGTGTGTGTGTGTGTGTGTGTGTGTGTGTGTGTTGTTGTGAGTGTGTGTGTGATGTGTAGTGTGTGTGTGTGTGTGTGTGTGTGTTGTGTGTGTGTGTTGTGCTGCCGGTGGTGTGTGTGT